CATGAAAAGGATCATGGCAGAGCGTCCCCTTCGTGTCTATTGGGGAACCGCACCGACGGGAGCTCCACACATTGGATACTTTGTGCCAATGCTCAAGATTGCAGACTTTTTACAGGCAGGATGTGACGTTACCGTTCTGTTGGCAGATCTACATACATCGCTGGATGCGCTCAAGTCCATGTTGGAAGCCATCGGAGTCTCTACGAAGCAACTACGATTTGTTCGCGGTACGGACTTTCAGCTGAGCCCGGATTACACATTGGATCTCTATAAGCTCATGGCCGAAACTTCCTTTCGAAATGCCAACAGAGCTGGCGCGGAGGTGGTGAAGCAAGGGGCAGCAGAAACAGACTGCTTGCTATCTGGTTTGGCGTACCCATTGTTACAGGCACTGGACGAAGTGTACTTGGGTGTCGATGTCCAATTTGGTGGAATCGATCAACGAAAGATCTTTATCTTGAAGAAGATTGATCCCAACAAAAAGCAAGACAAACTGAACTACAGCAATATGCAGGACATCCCAGATGAGAGACCCGAGGGGATGTCCAAGAATGCATGGAAAAAGCTACAGAAACTACAGAAAGCAAAGTTGAAAGAAATGACAAAGAAAACAAAGTCAGGAGCCACAACCATGACTGAGCAGCCCAGTGCCACAACGCCAACAGAGGAGACCCCTACGATCAAACACCCTGCATCAGCGGCAGGACAGGGAGGCAAACTCAATTCTGGTGGCAATAAGACGAGTGACAAGAGCTATCACAGACGTGTTCACTTGTGCAATCCCATGGTTCCCAGTCTGGGTGGAGGCAAGATGTCAAGTTCTGGAAAAGACAAGATATCCATTCTTGCCTCTCCTGCGCAAGTCAAAAAGCTGGTAGGGAAAGCATTCTGCGTGGATGAAGTGGTGGAGGGAATTGGTTTGCTGGCATTTTGTGAGTTTGTGCTGATACCGTGGCGTCAGGGGCTTGTCCAACCTGGGGAACCTGTTTTTGATATCCCTTCGGATGGTGACTGCCCGTGTCCTTCTATTCGTTTCATGAGCTGAAGACTGCTTTCTTTGGAAACAAAGATCAATTCACAAATGCTCAAGAAAGGTGTGACCACAGGTCTCAACTTGCTGCTGGACCCTATCCAAAAAGACAAGGCTCGCCTCGAAAAACTAACAAGACTTCACGATGCAGCGTACCCTCCCGGAGCCAAGGACTCTCAGCCGCCGCCCTCAAAACCGACAGTAGAAATACGCGACAATACTAGTCAAACCTGGGCGGTCATTGGCCTTATGTGTGCCTCTGGGTTTGTAGGCTTTGTCGCTGGGGCAGCTCTTACATCTCGTCGTTGGAAGTAATATATGTAGTGTTACGTTCAAAATTACATTCTAGGAGGTGATGCAGATGCACACTAGAGTCATACGGTACAGCTTGGTCCCATACCGGTATTTCACGGACAGTTCTACAAGGAGTATTTTGCGAACACGCGCGGTACACAACGATTAATTGTGAGGAACGTTGGACCGGTGGGACCTCTCTCAACCTACTTGAGTCAATCATCGTCGTCCGCAAAAGCGCTTGCACGTCGTCGTTTCCTTCGACTGACTTGAGATAGACGTACAGTTTCGTCGCACTCGTATTCGGAACTTTGATGATCGTGATAGTATTCATCTCCGTAATCTTGTTCGGCTCGATCTGGCGGTCCCTCCTTGTGCGCATAATCGTCATCATCTTCTTCTTCATCGCCTCCATGGTTGTTGTTGGGGTTGGGCGACGAGCTATTGCTGCCTGGTTCCTCCACTACTTCCTCACAATCTGTATCCACCAGCTCGACACTGCTACCGGTATCATCATCATCTTGGGAGTGAGCAATCCCATGTCTCTGCTCGAGTGTTGCAATATAATTCCGATCTGCGGCTCGTTCTTCTTCCGCGTTGAATTCCTGCCGACGACGAATCAGGTCGTGATTGATGACCCGTCCACCAACTTCTTCCTCATCGTCGACTTGTCCATCGTCATCATCAAAGCCGCTCCCGAGTGTCGCGCGGTCTTGGTCTTTTCCATAGGCTTGTTGGAGATCCTTCCAAATGCGATGCCCCCGCATCGTAAAGCTACTCCAGAACGCTTCGACTTGTTCCCCATATTCATCATCTTGTTGTCGTCGTTTCCAACGACGACACTGCCGTCTTCCGGCCGTCAGCAGTTGCAGTTCATCCTCCACTTGACCAAAGTAATCCTTCATGTATCCCAGCCCTTTCATATCCAAGGCTTTCTTTTGGAATCGTTGCACGAGCCCATCCGATTGACTCAGGTGAAAGCTGTGAAAGACGTTGTTCTTGTAGACTTGGTGTGTGTCAATATTGTGATCTTGCGATAAATGTTGTTTGACATGCTTTAGTTTGCCAAAACAAAATGCGCCGGCAATTTGAAAGGTTGGATCGACCGTGGCCAGAACTTCAATGGGACCGTATTCAAAATTGCCGAGTTCCAAAACATCCTCCTCATCTTGGTCAACAGTAGTAGTAGCAGATGTCTTCTTTTGCGTATTGTTGTTCTTGTTGTTGTTGTCGTCGTCGTCACTATCATCGCTACCGCTCTTATCATGATCATCTTGTTCATCGTCGTCACTACTATCAAATGTACGTCGCTGCTGTCTGTCATGACCATCATCATCTTTTACGTGATCCTTGGGCCGAATGTTGAGAAGCAGCCGACGGTAGCATTCCACATAGCAGACGGGACAGCAATAGATGTATCGCAAAGCACGTGGATCGTTGGACCGAATGCTGGAGGTTGAATGATCGTCCTCCTCCTCCAAGTGCCGTGAAGGTCTCTTTCGTTGTCGTCTACTAGTATCATCGCTATCCTCGTGTACATGGCGTCTCTTGTGACGTCTTGATCTTGGCTTCTCCTCATCGTCTGAATCTTGCAAGTCCGTTTCATTTTCGACTGCTGGGCGCAAACTGGCCATGCCTGCTGGTGAATTGTTGCTAGCTCCCTCATCCTCCGAGTCTTCCAAGAAAGAAGCGCGAGCTGCCGATCTTTGACGACGATGGACGGGTTCCTCTTCCACACTATCATCATCTGAATCTTGCTGCTGTTCCTTCTTGAGTGGATTTCCTCGTCGTTGTGGTGTTGCTGCAGGTTGTGTACATAGATATACGACGGACGACGAGTCGCTGCTGCTATCCTCATCGCTACCCGAAGAGAGTTGAATCACAGGATAACAAGGTAGATTGTGTTTTTTCTTGGCAGACGATCCTGGTGTGACCTTTCGGCTGCGAGTTCTGTTTTTGTTGGGAGTGACAGTCGATCTGCGAGTAGTGGCGGCAATAGAAGATTCTTCTTCTTCCTCGGATGAAGAATCTTGATTGTCTCCATTGGACTCGTCATCATCATCGTCATCATCAGAAGGTTCTGTACGTCGACGGCGATTGGTACTACTGTCTTCTTCCTCGTCTTCCTCGTCTTCTTCTTGGTGCTGTCGACGACGTTTGACTTTGTTCTGTTTGCGTCTCTTTTGTTTCTTTTTCTTTCGACGACGATCTTCCCATTCTTCTTCCCATTCATCCTCGTCGTCGCCATCGTCACTACTATCTTCTTTTTGATGCTCTTCAACTTCGTCAGCATCATCGGATTCATCATCGTCAGGACTGTAATCCCCATCGGACCACTCGTTATCACGGCCACTGCTGGCTTCGCTGTCTTCGCCATCTGGAACAATCCATTCTCGCTCTTCCGGGCTCAATCTCTTTTTGCGACGCCGATGAGTACTTGTACTGCGTTGTTTTCGTGGTCGAGGCATGGCTGCGCTGGTGACATTGTTCACCAGCCAACAACACAACCAATCAATCAATACTATTACTAGTAAGAGAGGAAACTCCTACAAAGAGAGAGGACATGCAACGATAGAGCGTGAGACAACTACCTACCGTAGGGTGGCTAGGTCTTTTGTTCTTCGGGAAGGGCGAAGCTGCGATTGCAGCGTAAACCTTACCGTACGTGGGGGTCAAATCAGCGTAAGGGTTTTAAAATAATTCTGTACGGGTTAGGGATATGATTTGTCGCCAATGTCGCCGCGACATATCGTGTGCATGGCAAGGGCGCGGGACCGTGCCGCTCTGCACGTACCGTAAAAGGAATGAATGATTGAATCCAGATGTCGCCACGGTAGAGGAATCCAGACAAGGACACCAGCGGAATGCAAGGAGCTCAGTCTCTTGAGAGAGACAAGACGGCAAGCAACGCAATACCCAGAGGGGCCTTGCTGTTTTGGTCCAAACGAAAAAAGCCACCTACTAGGAAAGTTGCGTTCCATTCCAGAGCACGAGCGATCTCCGCGTACTGTACTAGCTTCTGCTAGCTACAGGGTTTGAACCCAACGGGAAATATACATGTAGTAGACCTTCCCGAAGAAGAGACACGAGTCTCATTGGTCGTTATCATAAAAACAAATTCGTCTCTGCATCGAATCTTTGCAGCACTGAAAAGGCACACTTCCAGTTATCGAAGCAAGTCCCACACCAGCCAAACAACCCAGTTCTCTGCCAGCAAACGATCAGCTACCATACCAGATAGCTCGATACTGAAGCAAGATATTCGCGCACGAGATCTGGACGAAACGTGAGTTGACTAGCTAGAGTGGAGTTGCGGGAATACCTGTTTTACATGTTCATCATACAGTTCCACTGTTTTCTTTTGGAAGAATGACGGAAAATAGAAGAATGACACAATCTGGAAGAATGACACAATCTGGAAGAATGACGCAATCTGGAAGGCTCTACGTAAAAACGCGTAGACATCAGTACTAGGTGACGTAATCTGGAAGAATGACACAATCTGGAAGATTGCTGCAATTCGGAAGCATGACTCAAAGTGGAAGATTAACCCAACTTGCTGGTGACCAACCAAAACCAACCTTTTTCAAGAGCCCATTCCCCGCAACTCCAGTGCGGCGTTGGAACCTACTAGTATGTCAGAACTTCCACCACTCTATTCCTCCATCCAATAGACAACGACTCGACTCGTTCTGACAGTGCTCTGCGCTTTATTACTAGCTACCGTAGTACTTTTATTCTCACTCCGCGAGTTGATTGCATGGTGTCTTCTGAGTTGGTTCGAAGTTCCAAGTTCCAAGTTCGAGGTCAAACAGGGCACACAAAGGCAAGCAGATATGCATAGATTTCTGGATTAAAAACACTCTAAGTGACCAAAAACGATTGCAGTTTATTTAACATGTCAAAGATACTTAGATTGCATTAAGCATTGAATTTCCCTTTGTATTTAGAGAACGGGGAGCCCCAGCTCTCAGTGGCCGTTCTAAAGATCTATTGGAAGCTGCATACACTGCTAGATCTACTACTAGCTAGTAGTATAAGCTTTATAGCTGTCACACTTTCCTGTAAAACCTTTCTTGTTACTGACCATTCCTACAAACATGAGACGTGGATTTTGGTTGCCTGTCCGTCGTTCCGAGACGACTGGCATTGTATGAAAACCAACGCGATTGCGACCGACTACACACTACACAGGCAGCAAATACACGGAGAAAGAAGAGGATCCAAAAAACTAAACAACCACCACAACAAACGAAAGAAGCGCCTTGTTGATTTAGGTATCGGTTGCTTTACAAGAGTGACAGTCGCCGAAAGAAGCAGTGCTGCAACACAAAGGTCCTCATCATTCTCTCAGTACAAGACACCAACCAACCATGGGTTGCAACAATAGTACCAACAACGGAGGCGGCTATGAGGATACCGTGTACCGGCGGCCGAGTGTCCCTGCTAATATTAGCGGTACCGGTAACTCAGCACAATCCAAGGACCTTGAGAGCAGAGAACAGGTGGGTCTCGGCTCGTATCGGATGCGGTTTTGGATGTGTGTGTGTGTTGTGTTTGTGTCTTGTTGTGTTGTGTGTTGGGAAGTTATCTATGGAAGCCAGTCGGGGCCAGGCTTAGGCAAAGAAGAGTCGAAATTCGGGACTAGGTTCCGTGGGGTCAGGGGAGATAAATTGAGGGCCAGTATGGGGGCCAAAGGGTTTGGCTTTGCGGGATCCACAGAGACATAAATGGGTAGCTTTCACAAGGGCAATAGAGATGCGGGTCTGCATGAAGAACATCATTTGAGAGTAGGAAAATTGAGTTTTGGAGGCAGTAGCAGAAGCAAGGCGTTGTAAAAGAATCTTGGCTTGGGGAGCGAGCATGCTGTCCACAAAAACAACAAATGGTTGGAAGGGGGCACGATTGGATTCGCACGCACCTTTATATTTGGAAATCTGCTTGGAGATCTTTGTTGCTTGCCCTTTTTCTCATTTTATTGTTTTCTTCTCTCTCTCTCTCTTGTCGTCTCCTACTACTATACATTCAGCGCCCCGCCGAGCCACCTGCATATCTGTTGCCATCCCACGAACTGTTTCATCCGTCGGCGAATGGTCGCAATGGGTACGAATTTAAAAAACTCTACCAGAAAACAGAAGAGCAACTCGACGGTGGTAATTTCGGTGCTATTTTCGAATGTTGCCATTTACACGGCAGCGAATTGGATTATTGGAAAAAGGGCGCTCTCAAAATCACCAAACCCAATGCGTTGGATACGTTCAATGGACCCATTTTAACATATCAGGATATCGAAGACCGTTGTCAAGAAATTCGTACACTGATCTTGCTACAGCAAAAACCACGGTCCGACAATATTCTCCGATTGCAAGAATACTTTTACAACAAGGGGACGCAAGAGTTACGAGTTGTCACGGAATTGCTGCAGCAGAATTTACGTGATTGGATTGAAACACAACAGCAATTCACCGAACGACAGGGACGATCCGTGGCCAAAATCATGCTCTCCGCCATCAAGTTCATGCACAGTCGAGGCATTGTTCATCGGGATATTAAAGAAGCCAACGTCGTCTTTGCGTAAGTCAGGAACATGTGTAGATTCTGTGGTCACTGTCCCACGGTGCTCTGCTTTTCTCATTTTCTGTTTCGATTTGTTTCTGCAAACACAATTACGTTTGTGCTTCTACTGTATCTTACGAATCATACATACGTACAGCCAAACGGGTGATTTGAAATCACTCAAAATTGTCGATTTTGGTCTCGCAAAGGATCTACAGCCTGGTGAAACCGAAAAGGCATTCTGTGGATCGCTCGGGTACATTGCTCCCGAAATTTACATGCGAGAACCCTATCGATTCGAAGTCGATCTCTTTAGTTTTGGAGTACTCATGTTCAAGATTCTGTCCGGTAGACGTCCTTGGCCGGCTGGTCCGGCCGAAGAGACTGGACGTAAAACGGTCAATCTCGAATACAAAATCATTTCCGAGCAATGGAGGAATGTATCCTTTCACGGACAAGATTTTATTCGCAAACTACTGGCGTATCGCGAAGAACGCCTCGATGCCACAGCCGGGCTCGGGCATGAATGGCTCGGCGAAACGACAACTTCCGTCTTGCGCATCAATGCCAGTATGGCCTTTCGAATCGATGACGGTGAAGAAGGACGACTCTCTGATGCCGTTATTAATCCCGAAGGAGCCAGTACAGCGCAAACTTCCCGCGAACATTCTCGCTTTTGGGTCGAAGATCAAGTCCAAGACGCCCTCGAAACGTTTATTCCTACCGGCGCGTTTCGTGGACGCATCGTGCCCAGTCCGGAAGGACATGCCATGGTGGAAGAAATCATGCCACCCAATGGAAAATTGTTGCCCTATTACATTATCAACGCCGATGTCTACACGGAACGAGAATGCCGTAATGTCTGTCGGGAGATTGCACAACGCATTGCGTTGTTTCACAGGGGGCATGTCGTACACCGTAAATTGCACATGGAAAATGTGGTCGTCGAGAGTCAGGTACGTACAGGAGGACAAAATGAAAAGAAAAAAGTCGGTGTTGTGATTTTGTTTGGTGAAGAATTGATTTGCTGACCTTTTTTGTTGTTGTTGTTGTTGTGATTTTACTTGCAGCCGGGCGCCGACGACTTTAATGTCAGTCTTCGTGGTGTCCAATATGCTCAGATGATTCGGGAAGACCAGCCACTTACGGGACGTGTCGGTCGCGCTCTCAGGGGATGGCAAGCATTCATTGGACCCGAAATCACCAGTGAATTTTATCACGACCACAGAGTCGATCTGTGGAGTTTGGGTGCGATTATCTACATGTCGCTCTGTGGATCGGCTCCTGTACGAGCCGATCTATACTTTCGTGTCGTGGTGCCATCGGCTCCGGCCCAGGATCTGGTCCGTCGATTGCTGGTGAAGGATCCCAGTCAGAGACTCACCATTGAGGAAGTCTTGAACCATCCGTGGATGACCGAACACGATGAAGCGCTGGCCCAACAACCACTCGACCTCACCAAGATCTTCTTTGAAGATTACATGCGTGCAGGTCGCACGTCGGTCCGCAGCAGCCAATCCGACTCCACTTCGCAGCTCCCCCCGGTTGCAGCGCCTCCTTATCAACAATAGAGTGGCTGCATGCATGATTGCGCCATTTATTTTGAGTGTTTTGCTTGTGCGCTGTAAGCTGCTGTAAATCTAGATATTTTCGTCAAGGTTTACTGTTTCTTTTGCTGGTGGCCCAAACGTTCCGATTACGTACAGTAGTCCCTCCAGACAGCCATTCCCATCAACCAGGAGCAGATCGCTCGTGGTGTTAGCGCAAATCCCGTTGAAAGATTCAATCCGTCCATTGCCACGGACAGAAGTTGTCATTGCCCGAAGTTGAGTGTCGGAGAAAGTCCTGAACTGATTGCCCCGGAATACAGCTGGCACTCGAATTGTTGGTTTGGCCAGTCAGGCAGCTAGCTGACCTTTGCTGCAATACTCTTGAATCGAATCAGGCAATCATCGCACCACAGGGCATTGCACATTGCTGGCATTGGGGGCAGGCTGCAGTGTCGTTTGTCGGCCGCATGGAGCACCTCCTTTTGATTTATGACAAAACAATTCAAAGAGCCTTCTTGCATGCGCATGCCACGCTTGCGTCCACATTGGGTGAAGCATCTCAAGTTGGCATTGCGTGGGGAAAACGTTTGCTTGTCAGTACAGTGCTGCCTCAAAAAAATAAACTCTTGTCTCTGGAAGAAGGCACAGCATGGCCCGCACTTAGGAAGCATCAGGCTGCAATACCAGAAAGAACCCGGGCCGAGTCCGGGTGTCTCAAAAAGGATGATGGGTCAAACGAAACATCTCCATCTTTTCAAATAGAAGCATCTGCATCTTTTCAAATAGACATCTCACCGTGGCTGATTGATTCTACTCAAACCAGAAAGGACCTCGATCACCTCTTCTTTCTCCGCGTCTTCTTGTTCTTCTGGAGATCTACCGGTATGGAAGCAGCTTCTGGGTGGATTGAATGCAGGCTTCTGGTGGAGACGTTGCAACATTTATTTGTCGGAGCAGCAGCAGGGGGTTACACTGCCTTCTCGCCGGTTGATGACGCTCGCTTCTTATCCTTCTTCCTGCCTCCCTTTTTCTTGGAGTTCGGGCGGCCCTTCATGGTGTTCGAGAGGAATAGTTGAACGTAACTACGCCTGGTCCCCTTGATCAAACTCCCGACCTTAGTAGTGACTGCGGGGGAACTCCAGCAAAGCGCGATTCAGTGTCAAACTCCAGTCAAGACGACACGGCACGATACTTCCCGCCTCCTCGCTACTAGCCAGATTGATTTTGCTTGTTGAAGCGGTCCAACCCAACCGATCCAGGACACAGACTTCTTGCTTGTTGTTGGCTCAAATGCCATCCACCCATACCAACCGAGAAACGATCGAGAGCAAGGAGCCTTGGAAGAGGCAGTCGGCGAGGTTCTCGGATCCTGAAACCGTGACTGGAAATGCAAAGATCAAGCACGAAAGACGGGCAATCCACGCTTGCTCCAGGAGCGTTGACGATTGCGAGCGTTTCCCTTTCGAGCAAGCTCAAAAAACCAAAGAACACAAGCAAAATCATCTCGAACAAACGAAACCAACAACATGATTGCATCCAACAAAGCAGCCATTTTCAGCCTTTTGGCATTCCTTCTTGGAGGTGTCACAGCACAGAATCATTTCCAGGCTCAGCAACAAGAACTGAGCAGCAACCCAACACCACTGCAACAGCTTGCTCAGGCAGAAGCTCAGTGGAAGTCCAAACAAATCTACAACTATGCCTATGTGTACAACAACCATGGATCCAACCCCCACAACATTGTCTATCCCTGGGATGTCACAGTCCGAAATGGCAAGGAAGCTTCTGGCAAGGATGGAACCACAACCAAATCTTTTATGAACCCCACCCCCAAACCATGGAGGAAGTTTTTCAAAGGATCCGAAATGCCTACAGCCAGCCAGCCAAGTTCTTTTATGTTAGGTACAACAAGGTCTATGGGTTCCCAGAAGACATCTATATTGTCTACAATTTTGAAACTCCTGATGCCGCCTATGATGAAGAAATCACCAACTTTGTGATCCAGTAATCAAGCCATGCCACAGGTATAAACACACTATAGCAAAGATATGCAAAGACAATGTTACATGTTGTAGATACGTCCAAAACGGAGAGTATGAGGAGAAGTTCAGGAGAGGAAAGGCTGAGTCCTTAGTGCTTCGAAGGTGAAATATCATAACGATGTTTTGTTGTTGCTTTGAGTTCCTGTACGGCAGGGATCAGCACCGCCACAACCCAAGCCGGTGGTCAACAAAAATGATATGGATCTGTTAGAGTTCTCGCTTCGGTGAAAGACCGCATTGGAAGAGTAAGTAGGGTAAATATAGGGTTAATGTTATGTTTTACTCCAGATATTTATATGCAACAATAGTTTTACCACATCTACCTTTATTCTAAATCTGTCTTCCAGGCAGACCGCTGAAGCGAGAACAAAACCATGGTTTGATCTTCGTCTCTCTCGCTGCTCTTGAATACTCGTTTTGAAGCTCACAAAATCAAAACTTCAACAGTTTAGAAAGCAGATCCACTTCAAAGAAGCATTGCCACCACCGCCACCAACATGAAGATCTCGTTGACTTTGTTTGTTGCCGTCTGCGGCGTGTCCTGTGTTAGCGCCGTGACCCGTGAAGAGTGCAAGGCCGACTATTTGCCTGCCACGTTGTCTTGCATTGACTCCTTTGCCGGGCAAGGATCTCCGGATTGTGATCTCCTCCCAATTCCTGATCATTCCATGCCCCAAAATCAAGTCAACGATCGGGGTTATTGGATCCAAGAGTTGCGAAATACTCCTACATCCCACGTGTTCGCTGTCAGCCAAAACACTTACAATTCTCTCATCATCGTCGATGTCCCACCAGGTGAGGATGTAAACAAAAGGAATCTGAAGGCCAGCAAAGGCAACTTGAAAGGAGCAATCCCTAGAAAGCTTCAGGATTCATCTGATGAGATTGGGTTGATGATGGAAGGACCAGCAGAAACGTCGGAAGATGGAGCTTCTGGCCGAGTGTTGCCCAACGATATCACCGTTGCTTTCGTTGATTTCCCTCCTGCCTTTGAAACTGCTGGTGGCAATCACCTTCTCAGTGCTCTTGATGATATCCTCGATATGATTGGTGCTACCATGAATGATGTGGCTCAAGTGGAAATGTTGTATTCCCACGGCCACACTGATCACATTGGATTAGCCAATGCTACCTTCGTCGCACTTACTGAAACGCTTGGCTTTGATCCCGAAAGCATCCCCATTATCGCACCTGAAGGTGTATTGGAACACTTTGACCACGCCATTGAAACAGGTACTAACTGAACAGTTTTCCATCTGGATTCACTTCTGTTTCATACATCCTGTTCAGCCCTCACCTTCCTTCCATTGAACCCCGCGGATCCATCTTGCAGGTTTCTTCACAAACAGAGCTCCATTGCCAACAGTTACATTCACTGACTATAAAGAGCACACCGTGGGTCGCTCCACAACTCTCAACTTGACTACATTTGATGGTCATGAATATGGAGACAAGAATGTTATTGTGTTTATGGAAGCTGAGGGGCCAGAACAGCCAGCAATCATGATGGTGGTGGACATTGTGTACGAATCCAAATAAGCAAGCAGAATTCAATGTGTGATGCCCTGAATTCTAACCTCTTTGCGTCATTTCGTTCGTGCCATAGCTTTCCCAAGTGGGCTCCCTTCTTTTCTTTTGCCCTTTCCACCAACTTGCTCAAGTATATTTCTGCCCATGATACCTTTCTCGAGTTTCCACTAGGTGAAGATGGATTCCTTGTATGTGGCCATTTGAATCAAGTTGGAGACCGCAATGACATTTTGCTGAACAAGGAGTTGACTCTTGCTATTGTGAACGCAGCAGGCCTTGCTCTCAAGACTGTCAATCCAGGGCCTGTCATGGCCAACAGTGGCTTTGCCACCCCTGGACACCGCAACTTTGGCAATTCATGGGCCCGCATCGATACCTACTTTGCCGAGATTGAACGCGTATGTGCCAGGGCCGTCATGGAGGAGTACGGTTGTGACTTTGGTGGGCTAGATGTCACTCTATATTCCGCTTGCCGTGCGGCTCAGTCTTTCTTGCGTATCGAGATCTAGTAGGTCATAATACGAGCAGAATTCAAGCAAGCAGTTGAGATATATATGTACCAGCGGCGGTACGAGAAGCGCCGGTAAGGAATTCTGAATAGTCAAAAAGTGCGAAGACAAGAGCCAAGGAAGCTCATTTTATGTTGGTAATAGTAAAGACAAAACTGTTTGCTTCTCGTGAGTTTGCATGCTCTAGCTAGACTAGACTAGCCTAGCATGACAGGTACAGCTTTTATAAACATGAGTACTGGTACCGGTAGCTCAGACAATTTTCTGCTCGGTACGATACCGGTACAGCTACCGGTACGATGTATATTGGTTCATGTACATGTATACTTCGGAAGGAAGTTTGGATGCCGAAACAAGCTTCAAGGACACTTTCCACTCTATTTCTCCGAAAAACAGCTTCGTCGAACTACCGGTATCAAAGACAACCCCCACGGCTCCACAGCTCTGAACCCACGGACCACGGACCTGAGGGCTGGTCCTAACCACATTCATGTGGTTCGTACGTTCGCACAGGAAACACATTTATTTTCGCGTATGTGTTTTCATTCTTAACCATTCGCAGATACGTCATTCGCGAACTCTCCCGAACTCTCCCAGCAAGATTCTGCCAAAACGCAATCACCGTGCGTCAGGAAATCTCGTGATAATAGCACATGATTGTTCTTTGAAAGAATCTCGTTGGGGGCATCATGTTGATTCTCGTGCATCTCATCATGTGGATCCACAGGCAATCACATGTGCATCCCTTTGTGGCTCCTCTTTCACCACAATTTCCTTTTTTTGAGTTCTTCCTATCACCGTAATCGAATCGAATTGCACCGCACTCTCCACTCGTTGTCATGATGAGTGAAGATGGCAGCGACGGGTCCATTGATATAGGACGGCAACTACGGGAGTCTGACGAGCGGAACAAGAGGAAGAGAGAAGAAGCGGAAGCCGAGGATTCTGAGTCGTCATCGAGGAGTAGCCGTGCTGCCCCAGTCCTGGCCCCAGTCGCAGTCGCAGTCCCAGTTGCAGTCGCAGCCCCAGTCGCAGCCCCAGTCGCAGCTTCCCTCCCTCGTCCACGTCTAAGCTTGCATGAAATACAACACCGACACCAGATGCAGATACAGCAACTGCATCAACATCGTGCTCTTGTAGTGCCGGCACCTCCTTTGGAATACTACGAGGATGAGTTTGGCCAAGACATGTACATGGGGCAACTCAAAGCCCAGGAGTTACGGGAACGACCACCACGCCATAGGATGGGGCGTGATGAATCTCCTTTGCCTATGGTAAATTCCAGGTCCGCCTCACGGCAGAGAGAAAGGCTGCCAGGGAGGTTGAAAGGAAGAACAAAGAAGAACAAAAGCTTGCCGCAAGGCTTGCCAAGAAAACCGAAGAGGCTAGGCTGGCCAAGGTTGTAGCAACAATGATTGAGGGGTATCAGCACGCTGATCACAAGCATAAAATTGGAATCGGGCAAGAGAAGAGCCCTAAAGACGGCGAGATTTACAGTGTCGCTGTGTCATTCACAATGCGTAAAGGAAAACCAACCGAGGAAGTGTTGGACTTAACCAAATTCAACAGCAAGGATATTCGCGCTTTTGCTCTAAAGTGTGGAGTGAAGGGAGCAGGTAGCAAGAAACTGTACGATTGCAGGATGGAGATTGCCCGCAGTGTTCAGATGGGAACGATGTACAACGACCAATCTATTTCCAACCCAGGATCGTCTTCCGCAACGAAGAGGATCAACACTCTCATTAAAGTATTGAATATTTGCTTCCACGCTAACAATTTCAATGACTTTGTTGCTCTCAACGACAGTAAGCAACGAAAGGACTACGAACAACAGCCTCTCTCGGAGCATGGAGTTACAGGAAATCCGGTGAAGGACTTTTGGGTTCTTGTGTCGAGCGAAATGAACGAGACATCGGACGACTCTTTCGATACCGTCTTAGGGCTGATAGAGGGGGAAGACGACAGGCTCTTTGCATGGAACGAAGAACACGGTTTCAACCTGAATGACATCAACCGTGGACAGGATTTTAAGTCAGTTCGACAGCTTGTGTGTGATTTGATGAAAGCGCGGGAGAGATGTCAGTTGGAAATGAAGAAGTCTGGCGAGGGCAGCAACGATCTGTGGACGTACTGCACAAATCCGAAGTTCACTAAACCCCGGCAATCTACTGCAGTTCTACCGGCGGTTGCTGTCTACTACTGTAACCATCTTTGCCTCATACATCCGGCCGTTGATGGCAAGTTCGCTGCGTTTATGAGCGACAATTTGAAGAGTGACTCTACGATAGCATTTACTGGGAGTGCCGATTCCGGCGGTGGCAAAGGTGGCAAGCAAGCTGTTGTGGCCGTTATGGAAGCTATCACCAATGTAAGTACGGATCTTAAGGAATCAATGTCAATCCGAAGGAAAGATATGTCGTCATCAGATGAAGCCTCCAAAACGAGTGTTTGGAATGACTATTTCGACATTGGCGATCGGTATTGTAAATTGAAGGCGGATATCCGCAACGGGGATTCGTCCAAAGCACGTATGGTTGCAGCCATGGAACTCCGTATCGAACAACTTGAAGCGGTCTTGAAGATCGTGCCGGCCAAGTCAGTTATTGAAACAGAGGAAACTGGCGCTAATATTTAAATGTAAGCCATGTATTACTCGTCTTCTCTCCTTCTACGCTTTTTATTACGTGAAGGCCGTTGTAGCTGTAGACTTTGATTCTTTTTGCCATGAATTCCCGTAGATAGGAATTCCCCTCAAAGCTACCCTTGAAGATATTGTCCAACCGCACGGGATCCCCATCGTCATCATGTGGAACACTGGAATATAACCGGTACCATTTGTGCTGACGGTGCCATTGTCAACAGTTCCGGCTGCTTCAAGGCGCTCATTGATGCAAAAGTTGTGTAGACGAGCTATAGCCTGAGCCAACCATAGCATGTTCTTCAAGGAACAGCCAAGAGGCCGTGCGAGTATGCCCCACTTCATCTGCATGAGACCGAAGGCCATTTCCACACGAATGCGGCACTGACTGGCATAGAAGTTGAAATTGTCGTAGAGCGGGATCAATTTGTCGGTACCCTGATAGATTGGCACCATGCACTCTGTGGGGATGTATGCAGCATCGCCGATTACACAAGCACCGGATGGAAGTGACTCCACCAAACCGTGTAAAGCACATTGCCGCATTGCATTACGGTCGTCTGAAACTCCGGAGCGGCATAAGCAAAGAAGATAAACCGAGAATGATGATCCGCGACAGCTTGGATGTTCACTCCATAGCACTGGTAATGACCGGAGAAGAAACTTCGAATGTTGCCAGTTTCCTTCTCGGTTGGAACCTTGATACGCATAAGATAGCCGTCGACAACACCCACACAGTTGCTAATGGCGCCACCATCGGATATCCCGGCAAAGCCATCTATTGCGTCCTTTATTTCCTGCTCCGTATTGGGGAAGCGGATTTTCAACTGCGGACACTTGCATATTGCCGTTATTGTCTTCCATAATACACGATAGAACGAGCTCTTGGATATTCCAGCTATGTCCGTTATATCAAGATAGGAACCACCAGCCAAATATCGAAGCGTGCAGTAGAGACACAGTTCGGGAATGATGGAACCTCCTCTTCTCACAGCCTGGGTCTCGTTTACTAGCAAGTCGTCAACTATGAACGAAAGCAGCTTGTCAAAGCTTTCTTTACTCATTCTAAGTCGTCTTGTAAACGTCGAACGCTGCTGGTGTTTCTCACTGTAGCGCTTCCAAGCCAACCTTTGTTCGAAAAAGGAAGGATTCCTAGGTTCACCCGGTAAACACAGGAGAAGGCCCACCGTTAATATAAAGAGCTGCAGAAGTAATGCGGCATCTTGTTCGTATTCATAGTCCATGACGACAATGACAACAGCGTGGCTACAATGACAACGGATGGCTACTACGGTAGTAGTATGATGAGGCTCCAGATCTCGAGATCTCACTTTTCGATTTTCGAAACTCGCTAGAGTTGGGGATTCGTGACCTTGACTGAGATTTTCGAAACTCGCTAGAGTTGGGGATTCGTGACCTTGACTGAGTTCGGCTTACTCGAGCGTTTTGATTGGCCCTTCGCGAATTCCAAATCCACACGTTCGGCGAACCGCAGCTCCACTTTTTTACTATAAACATTTTCTGCGGTTCGCCGAACGTGTGGATTTGGAGGAAATTGAGCCGTTATTTGGATTTCACGAACGAACGGACGTCATTTAAGCTGGATAGGACCAGTCCTGAGATGAAGAGAGCGTGTTTCTCCAGGAATGAACACATGAACACAGGGAGGCGTATCATCGAATTCTGTAGCAATGAGCTAGACTAAAATCATTGCTACAGTGATAGGTGTGGCGGCCATCTGCCGTACGGTCAGTTCATTGTCGGCGTTGTCGACATCACATCGTGGAGGTGTTTGCTTCATCCGATCGAGATTTTCCTTTTGGATTTTTCCGGGGCTGAATCCGTGCTGTTAACTCAACGATTTGCTCTTGCCACTTGACCAGAGCCTTGTCCACTCGCCCCAACAACTTCCGAACCTTCTTCGGGTCCTTGGAATCATCGTCGTCGGCCATTTTCCTGGCTCAGTTGAGCTGTTTGAAGTGGGCTCTTCTTTTTCCTCCGGTATTTGGTAACTCCCATGCCAATTCCGCAGCTTTCTCAACAAGAACAGGGGCTCCAAATGGGAAATCCGGCTCTGTCAGGCCCTCGGCATAGATGAAAAGGACACTGCCGCTATTGGTTTGTCATTGTCCAACATCATCGTGGCGGAAGCAAAATGGGTTCTGCTTTTGTGGATCCGTTGTCCCCTCGAATTTGGATGCTCCGAATAGAAGCGGGCCTAGCACTATAAGACAGTCAACTGAGTCAACCCTACACCGATAGAGCTTGTCGGCAAGTCTGTTGCCGATCGAACCATCCTTGTAGTGGCCATTGTGATGAGTTCGCCGTGACACCACCATCTTGATTCAAAGATTTACAACGTCAAATTAAAATTGGTGCGAAAACACGACTGTGCAACACTGTGCAACACCGTGCAACACTGTGCAACACTCAAATCGTCCGTTGAGCTGAAAATTCGTCAAGTTTAGTTAGGCGGGCCGGCGTTTGTATAGAGCAAACTGTACTCTGTGCATTACTGTGCAACACTCTGCAACACTCTGCAACACTGTGCAACCCACAAAATTGACGGTTGAGCCAGCGAAATCGTCGGTTGAGTTTGGCGGGCCGGCGTTTATATAGAGAAAACTGTAGAGTGTGCAACAGGCACCTATTTCAAATCCTAGCTGTCAATGACACTTTATTTACTAAGTCTTCTTTCAAGTGTACACGTGTACCATCACATCGCACTCGCACATGCCAACACCATGGTTCACGTGTTCACATGGGTCTCACAAGACTCGCTTCGACCCAAAGCAAATGGGCGCAATTCCCAATGTGACAGTCAAAATAATTAACGAACAGAATAAAGGAGCACAAGATCACTTGATCGGACAATTATTTCCTGTGCAGCGTCTCAGGCTTCCGCGATCCCACAAGGCTCTGTTACAAAGTCATGTGCAGTATTCACCAGGCAAAAAATTTAATGTGCACAAGCACTCATTCATTTCCCTCTTCCTGTAGTACTGAAGTTGTCTAATCGAATCGATCATTTTAAAAATTAGCAGACAGATAGATACTAGCTACCGGTAGAGTAGATGTCAGAGCCAGAGAAGAACAGCAAGATGACGACGAAAGCAGAACGACGACAAGACGACGACAAGAGAGCCAAGATCCAGGCAAGAGGCAGTTCCTCCGCAGTAGTAGTAGGTGCCACCCCCGTGCCTCCCCATCTTGCGGCGCTGCGCAAGCAACGATACAGCCAACAGAAAATGAAATCTGTTTCCACTGTGGAAGCACCTCCTGCTGTACGGCAGAGTACTAGTACTAGTAGGGGACTGCGACGAAGCCAAGAAGAGCTCGATGCCAAGCAGTCGAAAAGAGGAGGATCAACTTTGGTTGGCGCCCTTCAAGCGAGCAATGCCGTCAGTAATAAGAAATTGAGGGCAAAAGGCTTGTCCTCCAGATCCAGCGTCGAGGGTTCTCATGTTGTACTGACAAGCTCTTTGAATACAACACCGGCCAAAGTGGCAGCGGGAAGCAGCAATGTGCTCGAAGAAAAATCCGCCGCGTTGTCTTCCAAGCCTGGGTCGATGCAATCCATGGTGTCTTCTTCGAAACCAGGATCGTCATCGGCCCTATTTGTAGTAAGGCCACCTCCCGAACTGGACATATCCATTACCGAGGCTACGGACCCCGAAGAAGGCCTCGTCCATGCACGACCTGTCCATGAAGACTCACAAGATTTCATCGTCAGGGGTGAGGCACAAGAAGTCGATCCGGAAATTCTAGAGAAACAAGACGTCAAGGCACAAAAGGAGCGGCAATGCGTGTGGATTGGATGCCTCATCATCACGCTTTCCTTGATCGTCTTGACGATTGCGCTGTCCGTCCGATTGACGCGAAACGATGAACCCCAAACACGTGCACCCTCAATCTCTCCTTCGTTGTCTCCGTCCCAATCTCCCTCGTTGGCTCCCAGTGGCGTCTTGGACGCACTGCTGCTAGAGTTGCCCAACTCTACCCTTGCCAATATTTTCGAAAAGCACGGATCACCCCAACAACAAGCGCACGAATGGTTACTCAATCATCAAGACATCTACATCATGCCCGAGTGGAGAAAGAAACAACTCTTGGCACTGGTCACGTTTAACTATGCCTTTGACGGAGAGAATTGGCCCAGTGCCATTCAAAGCAAATGGATGGATGACACCCTGCACGAATGTCTTTGGTTCTCGAGTGAATTTGGAAACTTTGATGAGTATGGCAAGTACCGACCCGAATTGCAATACGATGCCTTGGAACCATGCAACGAACAGCAAGAGTTTCAGGCGCTCTTGTTGGGCCAATTGAATCTGTCGTCATCGTCCGTCTATTTGCCTCCCGAGCTGGCCCTCTTGACTCGTCTGTCCATGCTGGAGCTGCCACTCAATGACATTCGTAACATGTCCTTGACGGACCTTATTGCGCCCGAAATTTATGAGATGGAGCAATTGACCCGCATCAATCTACACAGTAATTCATTCACGGGAGCATTGCCGACGGAATTGGGACTCATGACCAATTTGGAAAGTCTGTCGCTACAGTTGAACCAATTGACCAATACCATCCCGTCCGAGCTGGGAGGTATGACCAGCCTCACATTGCTTCGACTCTTTTTCAACAAGTTGACGGGCAAGGTACCTAGCTCACTGGGACGCTTGACCGACAGCCTGCAAGAACTCTCGGTCCAATTCAACTCGCTCACGGGCGCCATTCCCAGTGAACTCGGAATGTTGGGGGCGCTAGAAAAGCTCTGGCTTGAAGGCAACGAGCTCACAAACTCCATTCCGACCGAGCTAGCAATGATGGGGGCGCTAGAACAGCTTTGGATCCAACGCAATGAGCTCACGGGTGCCATTCCAAGTGAGTTGGGCGTGGCGACCACTCTCCATGAGCTCTCGCTCCACGCCAACGATCTATCCTCGACCGTGCCCACCGAGGTCGGTGGAATGTCCAATCTTCGCAGTCTCCAGCTGACATTGAACTCCAAGATTTCCGGGATCATCCCTTCCGAAGTAGGTGTGCTGACCGCTCTTGAACAACTCTATCTCAGTGACAGTTCGTTCACGGGACGAATCCCAAGCGAGATTGGGCAGCTCTCCAGTCTGACTGGTCTGGTGCTCGCTGGGAACGATTTGCAAGGACCCATTCCGTCGGAGATTGGAGCTTCCCTATCCAACTTGACAACCTTGTTTCTGTTTGCCAATTCTCTGACAGGGGCGCTACCAAGTTCACTAGGACAATTGACAGCACTGACGACCATGTCGCTCAATTCCAACTCCTTCTCCAATACGATCCCTACTGAAGTCGGCATGCTGTCGAATCTGGAGGATCTTTCGATTGCCAACTCGGAAGCTCTTGTGGGCGGAATTCCCTCAGAGCTCGGACGTTTGACCAAGCTATCCGTGCTGCATTTTCACAAGAATGGACTCGTTGGCAGCGTCCCGAGTGAATTAGGTAGGCTTTCGCTTATGGAAGACCTCCAGCTCAATTCAAACTCGCTGCAAGGCCAGATGCCGTCCGAATTGGGACGCATGTCGCTCCTCCGTCAACTATATCTCCATCAGAATGCGCTGAATGGCCCCGTTGCTAGCGAGATAGGGCAGCTCTCCAGTCTCACTGTTCTGCACCTCTTTGAGAATTCAATATCTGGAAATCTCCCGAGTGAGCTTGGTCTGCTGGGGAATCTGACGGAGATTACGTTGTACGCCAACTCTTTGACGTCCAGCATACCGAGCACTTTTGGATCCCTTTCCAGCCTTGAATCTATCCGGCTTTTTGCAAACTCGTTGAATGGAACACTTCCCACCAGCCTTGGCAAGCTACAAAACGTCACCCACTTTTATGCCTATTCCAACAACCTATCGGGAAGCATACCGAGTGAGATTGCAATGATGACACAACTGAAAGAGCTGGCATTGGATGACAACTCTTTTTCTGGGTCAATAGCAACAGAACTTGAGCTCTTGACAACCCTGGAAAATGTATGGCTGAACTCCAATGAGTTGTCGGGAGCTGTGCCAGATGGTCTTTGTTCGCTGGGGCGGCAGTCATTAGTTTTTGACTGTGGCGGTGGACTCTGCGGTTGTCGATGGTGTGGATGTCAACCATAGTACACGAATGGTATCCGTAACTCGTGGTATTGACACCGTGTTTGGTGGCCCTATTCTGTGTTTTGACGTGCCTCTCCGCACTACTAGTCTTGCCACAAGAAAGGTGCTCAACTAAAGATGGGACAACCTATCATTGGCACGGCAATTTCAATTTTATAAGATCCTTTTAACGTAATGGTGGAAAAACTGAAGTTCTGCCGATCCAGTCATAGCTTCCGGTATGCATCCAAGCAACCAACACAGGCAAACAAAGAATACATTCGTTGAGGAAACAATCATGGCTCCTCATTGCAAATGCCAAGAATGCAAGCCAAGATCGGTGCATAAACTCCAAGCCCACTGGGAAGTAAAAGGGCTGGACTAGGCCTCGGCTTTCTGCAGGAGCTGGCAGCACTTCCACAGGACATGACCAAAATGATTGGGGTCTTCTGGCGAGTCAGGCACATCAACCGTCACAGCCTTTTTGTAGACATTCTCATCCACAGGGACAAGCTGGCCTCCTTCAGCCTTCATCTTTACATCACGAAAGGTAGGGGGAAAAAACACGAAGGTCCTGGTGCAGCCACTGTTACATCTCACAGAGTGGAGCCCAACGCCATCTTTTTTAGCAGCAGAAAGTGGCCAGTTCCCGCTGCCCCTGATCAAGCAATAGGGGCAGTTTTCATTGGCATGTTTGAAATCAATCATGATCCAATAACGGCTGCAGGATCCGCAAAGCTCAACACCATTGCCGTAGCTGCTAGGGCATGTTGATAGCCTTCCGTTGCACTGCTGAAAATAACACTCTCTGCCAGAAGGCCTATGGGTACAAACTCTGCCACTGGCATAGGGTCTCTTGGACTCAAGATAGAGCCTGAGAAAGCCAAAGTGTAAATTGAACGCTGTCTCGCTGGAGCTCAGAAGCATTGATCCAACAATCAAGGATTGGTCACTTTCAGACAGCTGGCTGAATTTGTCAGACTCAATCACCAACACAGCACACTCCACAGCAAGCGCTTTGGCATTCTTGGCAACCTTCTCCATCTCGTTTGGCCACTGAAGGGCCTGCAACGCTCTGTGGTAATTGCAGAGCTGGCCAATCGGTTGGGTAAATGATGCTGGGGAATTGTTGGTTTTGAAGTCATTGAAAGCCTCGTTCTTTAAACGGTCAAAAGATGCCCAGAAGGCTTTTGGAAGATGACTGACTGGCCTTCCTATGGCCTCCAGCTTTGTGTATGCTGTAATCAATTCAGTTCCTAAATCAGAACCGGGTGAAGCTTGTTTCATTCTCTCGAGTGCCACCTTAACCTGATGTTCAATATGGAGAGTCTGCTGCTGTTTGTCACCAATGCAGCATTGAAGGACCTTCACAAATGCCTCGAAGTTACTGGCTATCATCCCCCCTTTGCGTAGGTCAGTTTCACTGACAGCCTTGAATGCCTTCTGCAGTTGTCCTTCCTCCCCAAATTGATGCCATTGCCATCCATAGCTGTGCTTGCCAATTTTTTCGATGAAATCCTTGTCCATTTTGATGAACTCATCAAATGAGAGTCGAGAGCCACATCGGTAGACGAAAGCATGCATTGCAGAGATGGGGATGACAACTGGAAATAAATCAGTCTGGTCTTGTTTGAGTCTTTTTGCCTGGCCCTTCTTGGTTTCGAGTGGGTTCAGCAACAACTGCAAAGCCCTCTCTCGATCACCCACACCAAAGAGGTTGGCAATAGCCTCCCGGGCTTCGTCAAGTAGAGCCTTCTGCTCCCTGTCAAATGGATCATCAACCTTGTTAGCAAGAATAATAACGGGGACATCTTTACTTGATGTCAGGTTATCTTTTACGAGCTTTAGGAGATCAAGCTGCTCCTCTGTGTTCACACCCTGACGTGCATCCATCACCAACACCACAATGTCAAAGGTGTGCCAGTTCGAATTGACAAAGTCCTTGTACTTGGAGCTGGTCCCAGCCTCGTTGATCCCAGGAACATCAACAATGACCAGCTTCGTATCTGGTCGCATCTTGTGGAGTGATTCTTCCAGCTCAATGTCAAAAGTCTTCTCCTTCACGTCATTGCTGTTTCGAAAGGAAGCGTTGTCTGTTGAAGTCTCTTTCAAAGTCACACTGGCTGACAGCTTTTTGGACACCAATGTCACAGATTCATCTGAAGAATCCTGGTCTTCCACCTTCATGGTTGCCATTGCATCCTCAGGAGAGCTGATGCGGAACGAATTGACCACGGCTGTTGTTCGCTTCATTGCAACTTCGCCAAACTCCTCTCCAAAGAGGGCATTGATGACTGTTGTCTTGCCCACAGAGACATAGCCAATTACACCAATACGGATCTCAAACATCTTGCTTGCAGGGGCCAACATGTACCGAGGCGGTTTCGAGGCGGGGATCCGCGTATTGTGGGAAACGAATCTCCAAGGCGGGAAACAAGCCGAGGTCCCGTTGAGGTTTTCATGGTCCAGCGCTGTGTAGCGAAGCCACAAGCTCTGAAATTTTCGGCCGAGTCTGGAAGTGGCAAGAAGGTGCGTTGGTCTCGCCAAGTAAGTAAGCACCGCTAACGTTGAATCTACAATCGATCGCTTTGAGCTTTTGAGGAGAATAGCGGGTATTACTGCGCCTCCGAAAGCTTCACCAATCATCTAAGTATTGCCTCAATGTACCTATGTATCCTTTCTGTGTGTGTCTGTTGTGATGTGACCGCTCTCTACTCTAGCAGGATACCTCTTTGATCGAAAGAAGCACTGCAGACTGGCAGAACCTGCAGCTTAATTGTAGTGCGAGGGGATCATACGGCGATTTGGTTCTTCTGACGCTGTGCGAGGTTGGAGCTTTCGACGGCGTCGATGAGCATGCCTTGGCTCGGCTCGGCGTGTGCTGCCAAAGCGCGACATTCCTGCAACAGCTTCGCCACCCTGTGTTGTCGCTGAGGCACCCCCTGGAATGTTCACATTCTCCGTCGCCATGGCGTTGCTGACATGATGATCGTTCCTAGACAGGCCATAAAAGGACAGACGCCGCGGTCGATCTCGACTTGGATTTCCCGGCCACCCGGGACGTTCGCGTCGAGAACGCCGCACCACGTCCTCTTCGAGCGCTACCGATGCAGACGAGCTGGCTTTGCAACTGCAGCCGCGGTGCATTCAACCATTGATGCCATTGCGACCAAGCATAGTAAGGTGTTTGCCTATCCTCATCCCAAGTTCCGAATATGTCTCCGACGCAGGAGTCAATCTAACTGAGCAAGTAAACTGGACGGGGAACCAGTCCTGACCAGTTCAGCATGGCCGTGACGTTCATCACCTTCATTCTTTGCTTTCAAACGAGGCAAGATCGAAAGTTTGGACTAGCTAGCCAGTATTTCCCTCCCCAAAGAGCGGGGTCGCACGATTGCCAACCAGGCACGATGCATGTCAGTCAGGTAATCGAGATTTTAAGATCTGGTTATCTGGTTGTCTTTTGAAGTGACTAATTCTGCATTCGAATACCGCCAGAACAGAAAGTTTCTCGTGGTGGGTGATTGCGTCACGCGAAGAGCACAAAGACGGTTCTGTAGACAGTTTCTCGGCATCATCTCTTGATCATGGTATCATCTAGCTAGCTTGTGGCTGCACTGGCTCACCGGTCGAGATTGCTTCAGATTTGCCCTACCGTATGTGGGCTGGGTCCACAAATGGGACAATCCAACCTTGCCGTACCCTGTCAAGAGCCATTTGGAAACTCACCTTTCGACGGCCCCCTTCCTCATGTTTGCGTGTTGGAATGAATGCAATCAAGCCAGTGGGAAGTGAAGAAATCGTCTATGATAGAAATCTCTCACTCGGCTGGAGGGTGGCAGCTCAGTGTCCCAACCATCCCATTCGACTGCCAATCCGATCTCGCCACCTTCGCAATCGTACCGGATGGCAGCGTATCTCTTCTGACAGCCAACAGTATATCCAAAGCAAATGTGTGTTTGGTGTGCAACAACGAGAGGCATCCTGCTTTCATTGGAATCTCTGCAGTTGCCAGGTGCCAGCGTAAAACACAGTTTGCAGTTGGCTGTACCGGTACAACAAAAGGCTGTGCGGATGACCCAAATCCAGGGCTCAACCCAAGACTTACTTGTGGGCGTGTTGCTTCAGCTGGAATAATATGTTTCTGGTGAAGAAACATGACAGCCAAATCACAGAAGTATCTTCCGTACCACCACTAGCCACTCTACTAGCCAGGGCTCGAGGCAGCCTTCTGTACTCGGTACAACCACTGGTCTTGGACCTTTTCCAACGCACCCTTTGATTTGTCTTTATAGCAAGAGATCACTGAGTAAGTCAGCTCCAACTTGCTCTCTTGTTGTATCAGCTGGTCTTGACTCAGTGCATGTACTTACTTGTAGTACCTTCAAACTTCAAACACAGTACAGGTCCCACACGGTCCCACTTTCTCTCTTTTGTTTTGGCCGATCTTTACCCTTCAAACCCACAGCCACGATGCCTGCTTCAAAGGTAAACAAAGTTCCTAAATCACCTGTCTTGAGAAGGAAGTGCTGTAAAGTGCGTGGAATGCTTTGAAGGGTTCGTTCAACTTTCACAACAAGGGGTGTCCATAACCAAAAAAATAGAAGTTGAGTGATAGTTCTGTAGGACATAAGACTACCACCAGCCACCAGTACCGGTACCGATATTTTCAGGGACATGTTCAACTAAACAAGAAAGCAGCAGCTCCTAACTAATTAGAGTTGTTCGGCCCGGTGGTACTGAGTCCAGGGTCGAGGGTGTCTTTGGTTTTTGGATTGTCGTGATGAAGCACTATGGGCTGTTGGCCTGTTCTTGGTCGATTCATTGTATCTTATGAGTCCCAGTACAATCTCGGCATGGCTGCACCTAACACACTGCGACAGAGTAGATCCCTTTTCCTCAAAACTATTACGGAGCTTCCTTGACTTTTGTCTGGGGACTTAGGGTGTCGACTGGTTCTTGGACAGCTTCGCAAGTTGTGTGTAAAACAAGTGGGTACCAGTTTTGATGGGTCGCGTGTTCCCGTTTCGAATATCAGAGAAGGGACATTCTATGACCATTGTTAAGTGAGCTTTGCCTCTGTTGACACACATGGAGTGACTATTAACACCCTCTCTCCATGTGCAATTCAACCATAGACCAACCTTCTTGAAAATGGTTTAGTAGCTTCCGCTGCAGATGTACCGAAGGTCTTACATTGAACCTCCAAGAGGTCATTCTTCGGCCTTTCCAGAGTCATTATTGGCTGATAAGTGAATCCCACTTCCGGGGGATACCCCTGAAGGTCCACGTTGTACCTAACTACTACCGTACTAGTAATGACGAGGGTAGCAGCAGGCCTACTGGATCCACATAGATTCTTCTTCAAAGTGTTGACGGTAGCCAAGCAACAAAGCAAAGGCGCTGAGGTTGCTTGCTTACTTGTGCAAGATAAGCCCAAGTCGCTCACTGTTTTGTTTCCGTCGTTCGTGATAGGTTTGACTTCCTTACGGGGGCTCGCCAGCTACACTAGCTACCAGGTACCTAGCTAACGTGAGCATTGTTACAGGATTGCTCAGTCTTCACTATTCTCATAAATGAAGAACCTTACTTCCAAAAATAAGCAGTCCAAAGCTTCCTCCAAGCCGAGCACGCTATTAAGCAGCATGATGGATGTCAAGCCTTTCTCTCCCAACTCCAGCAATGCGAGTAAGAAAGACGAAAAGTCCGGAGGCGTGGTAGCGGGTGGATTGGTAGCGGCGCGCAGAAGTACCTTTGTACGGGACTTTAGTATTGGAGGCTTGATCCCCTCGTTTTCCAAAAAGAACAAGGGCAAGGACAAAGACAAGCCGGATAAGGGTAAGGACAAAGACAAGGAGGATAAAAATACTGATAATAATAGCAAGCAAGATCCCAAGGT